CAGGCAGCCATGACGTGCCTGTCCAAAACAATTTGGGTCACACCCAGAGAAACAGATAAAAGGGTCCTGAGACTCATCCTGAGCCACGGTACAAAATCTAAATAGGGTTGAGGCGTAGCAATTGAGAGACAGAGCAGGAAGAGTAATATAACGTCAGAGGATGAAAAAGTGCAGAGAATGAACCAGGGGAAGTGAAGAGGGAGATTAGGGAGGAAGCTTGCAATCAGAACAATTTTGGGATGTGGGAGCTAGAAAAAATGAGAAATTGACATACAAAGAAAGAGTCAAATATGACCAAAGTAAAAGAAAATATGAAGGAGGATGGCAGCTAGATGATCAGACTCTTTAAAGAATTGAGAATAGAGCACCTGGGTGGGAGACAAACTCAAGCAAGTCAGAGAAGTGGAGTGAAAGTGAGAAATATCCCAACACCTAAATGAGTTTATAAAATACAGGTGGAGAAAGTCAGAAAGAGACAAAATGGGATTCTGATACACCACCTGCAGAGTATCGTCATTGTCAAGTGTCTCTAGATTTGATGTTAATTAGTTTTTAGATTGGTTGAAGAATTACATGCTCCTTGGGCTCAAAAATGTTTAGGTTTACAGTGGATCTAACAGCAGTCACAGACCCGTTGTAGATGTAAAGTAAAAGGTATTTAATGAACAACATGAGGGAGGCTGGAGAAGCGGGGAGAGCGTGGCTGACAATGACAGGAGGCAGCAGACGGACTGAAGAGGTATGGTGGAATGGCGGTGGTCTGAGGAGTATGCCGTAGAGTGTAGTACGGCTCAGGGGACACTGGCAAGGCTCTTATTAATGCTTTGTGATGCTGTAAAATGTCAAATGCAAACTGTAGAAACTGTGTAAATGTTTTAAGTATTTGGGAAAAATACACTGATAATAAGCTGCGCTTTACATACAACATAAAGCCACCAAGAGGTTGTCTTTAATTAAGGAAATTAACATTTTTGGAAGATGCATTCAGTGTATTGCAGCCTGGTTGAAGGCTCAAAGTATAATACAGTAATGAATCAGAATCAGCTTTATTGCCAGGTATGTGTATACCTACGAAGAATTTGAGGAAAGGATGCAGGAGTTATTATTATTTTTATTATATTAATTATTATTATTATTAATTATTATTAACATTACTGTTTTATTATGTACATGTTTGAGGTGGATGTGATATACAGGTGCACATACCATACAATACATGTACACAGTGATGAGTGCAAAGAACGCTGGAATAAATAAGTATTATGTGTGGTGTTATGTACATGAGGTAGGTGGATTTGGTATACAGTA